TACAGTAGGGTATAGATATCGTATTTTAAAAGAGAGAGAAAGAGAAAGAAAGATAAAAGTAAAAGAAGGCAAAGGAATAATGAGGGAAAAAAAGTGTTGAAGAAGAGATGTCAAAAACTCCTTCATTATGTATAAGTCACTGGGGACGATTTTGTTCAGAGTGGTTATCGTTAATAATGGAATAATGTTAATGGAATAACGAAAAAAGTCACAAGTTAAACCCGGTCACTGGAAGCTATATGGTTGATTTTACTGTGTCTCAACAGTTTTTTTTCCTTTAATTTGAACAAGATAAGTTTGGACAATTGGTTTAATATGCATGTGTAATACGCGGTTATTCCTAGAGAGAGAGAGAGAGAGAGAGAGAGAGAGAGAGAGAGAGAGAGAGAGAGAGAGAGAGAGAGAGAGAGAGAGAGAGAGAGAGAGAGAGAGAGAGAGAGTGAAAATCATAATGCAGTGAAAAGTCAGTAGAGTTTTTTCTCCGAGTTCCAGCTGTGATAAAGTTTTTTTTCCGTCAGGTGTTGCTAACATAAAAAATGGGAAAAACATAGATTTGAGATTATCAATTCTCAAATCATTAATATCATTTTACAATCAAAATAGTATCAATATGTAAATCAGTTTCGTTTTCTTTTTAAGAAGTACCTAGTTTCACCACTGGATAGAAATCACAAAATCGTATTAATACAATCAATACAATGATGAAACATACAATGAAGCTTACACAACACCCGAAATAATGGTATACTGTCTTCTGTACATGAAACCAACAATCTGGATGACGAACATAACACGTTTCTAAACATGACTGAAAAAAAATGACAAAACACACTGGTTTCCTTATAATATTTTTTTTGAATTCTCGTTCACTCACAATTCAAATCTTGGACTAAAAAAAAATCACTGGGATGATGATGATAGAAAAATAATAAATAATAATAACAATACAAAGATAGAATCACAAATAAAAAACGTAGGGAGCTGAACACAAGTAATTACACTTTCTTTTGTATATACTCTTAATTTTGATGCGTCTCGATGTTCGAAATCAGACTCATTCCTTGGATAGTAAAATCGTTGTTCGGTTCGAAATTACCAAATGCTCGGCCTTTTGCGCCTCGAAAACCATGGCAGATTTCATTACATGTCTAAAAAAACAACTCATGGAAGTGTCATTCTCTAAGAAAATAACTTATAGACTGGAAACGACAACAGGGTTCACATATTGAGCATCAGTTTATCAGAAATACTTTATAACGTTTATCTAATTATTATTATTTTTTTGTCTTAATTATTTCCATTTACTCTGAGGACTCCAAAGAAGCGTAAATCTAGTTTAGTCCCACTAGTCACGTTATTCTTGCGTAATGTACAACTAGCTCCTAGTACTTAGTGGGTTAAATATTATTTGTGCTCTTCGTTAACTGAATGTCTTACAAAATGTCTTACGTATCCTTTTTTTTAATGTTATAATTTACTGTGGAATGAAAACAACAGATTTCCTGCATTATGCAATACATGATCTATTGCCACCTACATTTACGTGTGCATGAGCTATACCCGACATGAATGTTTCTTTTGCATCTGATACTGACTGTTCTCTATGAGGTATGTGGCCCTCGGCTAGACCCAAGGAGTGACAGAAACTATGCACTCTTGATTAGTTTCTCTCGGACATATCCTGCTGTTCTTTTGTTTTATTTAAGGGGGAAGGGGGGCTAGAAACACGTGAATGAGAGTCTCCTGAAGACGGCGGAGTGAAATGATACTTAATAAATACTCTTCGATCAAAGGAAGCATATCGAAATCAACTTGCACAAAACATCTATCGTGTTTACCTATTGGACTATTCGACATTGTTGTAGCTATAGACTAATTCAGCTTTATTTTTTTTTATTTATTTCTTCCACGTATGTTCATTAGGAATAATGTGAAGTATGATTTTTCTAATGAAGGAGTATGGCCTTCCTGAATATAAATAAGTGTCTGAAGGATAGAATGGCAATGCGTGTATGCATGTACAGTGGAATGTACAGTGAAGTCGGGTTCTAGAGATAAGCGGAGTGTCTTGAATTACTTTGCTCCAGGGCGGCGAGCACGTCGTGTTTCAGCCGCACGTATAACTTTCCTCTTTTCCAGGGATTCTGCAGCTGGAGTGGCCTGAAGTCGTCACGAAGACACCTTTCCCGTATACCAATCACAGCCACTAAACAGAAGTCTTTGAGCCTTTCGTTCCCATAGATGGGTCCGCCCCGCCCCTTCAACACCACCGCCATGTTCAGCTGTTTCACCACCAAGTCTATCACTTCCCGAGCGGTCGTTCTGGGCGTGATATGTAGCTTGACCGAGGTGCCCGAGGCCAAACCGGTCTCGTACGCGGCGTATACCTGTATGATGGCTGGTTCCTCGCTTCGCACAGCCCCCTCCACCAGCTCCTCGCCCTCCGTGCTCTTCGCTTCACTCGCCTCACTCCGCCCACTTTCTTTGCTCATGAGACTCAGGGTATCTGTTTCCGTTTCGTTTGAGGACAATGAACGTAAACTGGCCGTCATACTTGAGAAAGAGGCTTCGGAATCGTGACTGAGACTACTGCCTGCTCTCTGGATTTCAACATTTAAGTTACTCCCGTACCGCTGGTGGAGGTCGTAACAACTGCTCGTGGGGGATTTACTGCTGGCCATCGTCTCCTCGTACTCGATGCTCGCACAACTGTTTTTCTTTCTCTTACCTTGTTCGACCGATTCTAAAGACGACGAGCTCTGGTGATTGATTTTTGGTTCACTATTACAGCACTTAGATTTGAGGCATCCCTCGTGAGTATCGTAAAACGCAGGAGCACTGGCCTTTCTAGGAGGGTAACCAGGATCTACACAGTGTTGTAAATGGTTTTCACTTCTAGACGTAGGGAGGTCTTTACTGTACATTTTCCTCTCACCACTAAACTGCAACTTTTCACCGTTCCACGAGAGAAGGGGCACATTTTCATTCTGTTCCTCACTGTCTAACATGCAGTCATTCAGAGAAGTGAATGACTTTCCGCAACTCTGTACACACCCACTACTATGAACTAAGCACTCAGCTGTCTTTGACTTGTGAAACCTTGAATCGCATTTCACTGCTGCTCTAATGTTTTCTGAGGTATTTGACTTCAGCATTCTAGGAGCATCGGATTTCTTTATGCTGAAGTTGAGGTCGTCGTCTTTTCTGAGTCTTTTGCTGTCTGCCCCGTGCTGGAGGGACTCGCTCGAGCTGTGGGTGTCCTGCGAGGATGACTTAGCAGCAGGCAGGTGTGAGGGCGACTGTTGTACTGCTGGGGGGTGAGTGATGCACGGGGACCTGGGGGAGGGACACGACAGCAAGGTCGTCAGGAGAGCACCAGATGCCGCTTTATCTCTAGCGTAGGTTATCGCGTCCATGACCCATCTCAGGCCCCGCCATATGACGTCTAACTGCTCCTGGAAGGTCTGCAGCTGCCACAGCCGGTCCCGCGAGCAGTTCACCTCGTCCTGGCTGAAGGCCTCCCGGCTGGCGTGCTGCGCCATCAGCGTGTCCATTTCCAGGATGTAGGAGAGGCGCGCGTATCTCCCGATGAGCTCCCTCTGGTACGTGCCCATGTGGATCATCTCGAAGATCTGGAGGGGGATGGTGGTCAGCGAGGGCTGGGACATGATGGCGTCCTCCTGCCCCGGGGCCGAGCAAACGGCATCCACGGGGGGCATCACCAGCAGGAGCGACACGTCGGGGCTGAGTTCCAGCACCTCTCCGCAGTAGAGTCTGTGCTGCTGCTGCGCCTCGCCTTCCACCTTGAGCTGACTGAGCAGCTGCTGTGCCGCTTGGCCCAGCTGGGAGTGCCACACGAGCTGAGCTGGCGAGGGGGCAGGTGGTAGGGGGGAGGTTCTCCCCTCCTCTCCCTCAGCGGGCTCTGTCTGTGCAGCTAAGTGCCACTGGTCTCCACTGGAGAGTTCGAGGCTCCGCACCCACTCCCACTCTTCCCTGAAAGACAATGAACAGGATAAGTATAATTTCACAATCACATCAGATTCACGAGATGAATCAAACCAGAGTACGCAACATAGATAGCACATCTCAATCTCCATTGATCTACAAACATGATATAAAATAGTCTTTAAAAGGCTAACCAACACTCAACACGCAATCTACCATGTACACAAACCACACCATCCACAACCACCTCACACACCCAACAAATCACACGCACACACACACACAGACGAGCACACCCACCCTCCTCCCGAAACCACACATACCTGGAAACATGCGGATTATCCCTGATCTTGATATGGGGGAACATATTCGGCTGTTTCTCGGGTACCAAGACCTGCAGTAGGTCAACGGAGCTCTGTAGTTTGAGGTAGCCCAGGTACAGTCCACGGCGAAGGGGGACACGGCTCACTTGGTCGTACAGGATGAGATCTTGAAGGGACGAGAGAAGCAAGTCTCCCGCTAACGTGCCTGGTTCGCCCTGCTGTAGGCCTTGTCCTGTCGGGGAGGGAATCGGTTATTATCTCTAGTTATAACTTACAATTATGATTATAGCTATAATTTCCTTTGTTATGTAAGTAGTGTGTGTTCTTAATGGTGTTTTTTTTTGTAAGCGTATAATTTGTTGACCTCAATAGCTGTTGTTTCGTTTATGTTATGCGATCATTTCTTATCCCTAGTCGTATATGCCAAACTGATTTTTAGTTAAAGACAACTCTAACTGGTAACAGAAAAGATGTAATATCAAGGCAATATAGTTAAGAACACCCATTTTCTTACCTACTTACAACTAATAAGTTATCAAAGATATATAATGGCATACTACTCGTAAAGTGATACAGTAATATTCACGATATCACATCGGATGACGAACTAATACTTATACAATGTAGCAACAGATTACTACTCATGCAGAGCAACAGTACTCAACCCCCTTAAAAAAGCGACACAAGCCAACACCTTTCCTCCCGTCCTAATCTAACTCACACCTTTCCTAC